AGAAGAAGAAGAAGAAGAAGAAGAAGAAGAAGAAGAAGAAGAAGAAGAAGAAGAAGAAGAGAAGAAGAAGAAGAAGAAGAAGAAGAAGAAGAAGAAGAAGAAGAGAAGAAGAAGAAGAAGAAGAAGAAGAAGAAGAAGAAGAAGAAGAAGAAGAAGAAGAAGAAGAAGAAGAAGAAGAAGAAGAAGAAGAAGAAAGAAGAAGAAGAAGATAGAGAAGAAGAAGAAGAAGAAGAAGAAGAAAGAAGAAGAAGAAGAAGAAGAAGAAGAAGAAGAAGAAGAAGAAGAAGAAAGAAGAAGAAGAAGAAGAAAAGAAGAAAATAATAAGAAGGAAGAAGAAGAAGAAGAAAGAGAAGAAGAAGAAGAAGAAGAAGAAGAAGAAGAAGAAGAGAAGAAGAAGAAGAAGAAGAAGAAGAAGAAGAAGAAGAAGAAGAAGAAGAAGAAGAAGAAGAAGAAGAAGAAGAAGAGAAGAAGAAGAAGAAGAATAAGAAGAAGAAGAAGAAGAAGAAGAAGAAGAAGAAGAAGAAGAAGAAGAAGAAGAAGAAGAAGAAGAAGAAGAAGAAGAAGAAGAAGAAGAAGAAGAAGAAGAAGAAGAAGAAGAAGAAGAAGAAGAAGAAGAAGAAGAAAGAAGAAGAAGAAGAAGAAGAAGAAGAAGAAAGAAGAAGAAGAAGAAGAAGAAGAAGAAGAAGAAGAAGAAGAAGAAGAAGAAGAAGAAGAAGAAGAAGAAGAAGAAGAAGAAGAAGAAGAAGAAGAAGAACAGTCTCTCAGCAATAGATAGATGATTCCTCAGTATTACTATCTATGGCAAAGTGCTTGTACTTTAGAAAAACAATCTGTGAGTCTTTACTGGAATAATACACCCGACAGACCAGAGCGTTGATGTCACAGTTGGAATGCAGTAAAATGAAATTACAGCCGAATGGAACTGGATAGTTATAGCCGTGTTCACAATGCATATAATCACGAACATATCTATTTTGAATTGGCTAGTACTTGGATAAGAAGATCGGAAGTTTAGGTATTGAGAGAGCCACACATTTTTCAAAAACGACCTTGGCTCCCAGGTCGTCCTAGCCTTAAATGGATACCAGTTAAAGTCTTTGGAAGTAAGAGACACTGAGACACTGAGCACATGACCCACTGAGTGGTCTTTAAAATAAAAGCCCAGCCCTATATGCCCAATACGCCTGGGTGTGTGGAATATGGTCCTTTACTTTCCTTTTACAAGTACTGTGAACGTTAGGCAATAAAAAGAGTTGAAGAGCTTAAGAAAAAAAAACTAAATAGTTTCTACTGTATTTTGTGGTGTAAAGTAATATTCATCATCAATTAGGGCTAGACATGTAATTAGATAGTGTATCTAGCTCATGTCATGACTGAATGACTTTCTACCCCACCAGGACATCACACAAGCGACAAACACCCGATGACACAAAGTGCCACCATGTGGATGAGGATCACCGTGGAGAGGTCCCAGAAACCGCGTTCAGACAATTGGCCATATTTATGGCCTGCCTATTTTGCGGCCCCTGGCAAAAGCCAGAATGGGGCTTCAAATAACAAAAAATTACGTCCCAAAAAGGACGTAAGGATTGATACATTTATAAGCTCATGTCATATGACTTTGGTCATTATATTTCTCCACAACCTGTTATCACGTGTACCGTCAAACATTTCTGAATACAAACTGTCCAGTATTCCCCTGTACTGTTTGGTTTCCAACTTTCTATGTTTTCCTTTCTTCTTTTGTCCATTTTTTGTTTGCTGTCGCAAGGCGTTGCAGGATAGTAGGTAATAGGTTTACGAGCTAGGGGGCGCTCGGTTGCCTCATATGTTGTGATACTGTGCATACTCAAGGATCAGTAACTTCTTCGATCATTTTTTTTTTTTTGCGTCCCCTACCTTTTGGTTTTTCTACTTTTCTTTTGTACGCTCTCGGTTATAGCATCATTGGATTCATTCTCATTAAATGGCCAGACAAAACGGTCAACAAATGCCTGCAGAAGTCGGATGCTTCGGCCAAACGGTACACATATCGCAACTGTTCTGTAAATATGCACACCCCAATTACATATTTGGATGAACGCAGAAGAAGAAGATGAAAAAGATCTGTCAGGGTATTTCTCTTCTTCAACAAAAACACATAGCCGCAACATTCAGACAGTTTCTTACTGAAATCCTCACTGCCAGTGATTCACTTCTGTTCAACTGGATAGGCTCCATAGATCACCTAATTAAAAACTTCTAGATACAGATATTCTAGTCGGAGTCTGTGGCTTAGGCATTGTGAACACAATTCGTAATGCCGTGATGCTGATCCCTGCTGTAAGCGATTTACCAGCTGAACGTTCTGGATTGGTTTCGGCAATGGTACAGAGAGCTGACCGTGCAGTAAGCAATAGCTAACTACTCATCGAAAACTTTGCCTAGAAAAACTACAACAACCAGAAAATGCTGTGGTTGGTTCTGCAAAGAACCGCATAGGACACGCAACAAACTGAACTTATATTCTGTTGACGTGGGTGCCAGGCAGTGTTGGGGGAAAAGGCCGCCGGTGGGATAGTGACTACATAATCCACCGAGTGCCGTTTTTCTCTTAAAGTAAGTTTGTAGAATCATAGGCTAGATATACCACTGACCACAGTGGGTTCTTTAATCCACTTGATTTGCCTGGAGATGTAACGACTGTGAAATGTACTTAGTGCGGTAAATTTTATATTTAACTTTTTATTAAATTTGCTCTGCAACGACTGGCCAGACAGTTAGAAATGTGGGTTTTTAAGCGCGATACCCGTGTTTTATTTAATCCTCGGTATGTTGTTTTGTTAGAGGCCTACATACAATCCTAACTTGCAAAATCCGTGGCGACAGCACTAGTCATGCTTCCCCTTATCCGTAGGCTTAGAGATACACGCATACACACACACATAGACGCACACTAACTCATACAAAAACACTCATAATACAAATTCACTTATAGTGACTCAGAAATATACTAGTACGCACATACATATTCATATTTCTACATACAAACCAACACGTAGACTTATTCGTACACTTGCATACACTCACATATACAAAAACCACTCATACTACTAATAATTACACACAGACTCATACATACACATACACGCACACGCTTACACACAAAAACATTTTCACACACTTTCACATACACACACACACACACATACACATACATAAACCACTAACTTACATGTATTAAGCATACTGGCGTGCTTCTGATCAAATGTGTTTGCAAACTGCATTTTTGGAAGATATACGAATGTTTCTTTGCAATTATCATTATTCCTGTTTGGCTGACGTGAAAATGTTAAAGGGTAATTAACAGTGACGCGATCGATTTTATTGCACCGCCTTTTATCGCCTCTGGCTCCATCTCTTTCTCTCTCGGCAGAGTAATCAAGTAAGGTGATATTTAAGGATAGAAATAAACGCAAATTTATACAATGGACAATGTAGGCCAGAGGTGACCGTCTGGATTCCATGCTCAATTACGAAACGAAGGCACAGTATAGAATGCGGTAGAGGAATCGTCCCAGAGCAATTTATGAGTGTAAATGGCACAACCGCCCGTGTGTTAACAGAGCCATTAAGCAAAGCAAAGAAAATTACTGCTGCATCCTACCAGGCATGTCGTAATAGGCGCCTAAAGGTAGGATTGCAATAATGTTAGCTACGTCAGCCTGTAAAAACAAGAGCCACAAATATAAATTAAAAAAAAAAAAAAAGTCGAATAAGAGAAACAAGAAACACAGCTAGCCAAGATGAGGGATGGATCTTCTATCAGATGACATCGTGAGGAGAAAGCCCAAAGGCGTCCGGGTCGTAGACGTACCTTCTTTCACCTAAGAAAAATCTTCAGAGCTGGCACCAGGAATCTTAACTTTGTACGATGTAAAAAGAAACTATAGAGCTTAACAGGAAAACTAAACATTCAAAAATACATGGATATGGGTCTAGAGATTTAAATTAAAAAGATGGGAAGGACATGGGGTGAGATGCATGCAAAACGAAGGATATAATTACTGTCGTAAATTGGTTGGGGACCTATGTTCCAATTGAAGATAGAGGACAGAATGTGTGTTTTTCGTTGGCACAGGAGCGGAGCAAAGATGGGGCGATCCGTTTGCTATGAAGCTGAAACTAAGACTACCAGACTATCAGAGTACCAGAAGAAATGGCCAAATAAGATTACATTCTTGCGGCCTACTGGGTGTGGTGGGAAATCCTAGTCGTTCATCCACTACTTGATACATTTTAAATGTTGAATAAAAAATCGACATCACAGCACTCGGGACACTCCTATTAGGGATCAGTCCCCATCTTTAGCACCAAGCGAAGAGTTCCATATCCGATGGTACCAGTGACCGTCTGATTTAATCTACTATTTGACTTTGATCTTGTTCCAGGGCTTGAGATTTTCCAGCACATGCCTTATATAGAAATGACTTTGGTTTTGTGTCCTCCCTCGTGAGCGGGGGTCTCCGTGACGGAGTGGTCAAAAAGTTTGCCTCGCCTTGTGAAGTTCGTGGGGAAGTTTCACGGCTGTGTCTTTCAGTTCACGACCGCAAAATGTTAGAGATCCCTGGGGATCGAACCCGGAGCTGCGAAGTTCGTGCTTCGTACCTTGTTGCTCTGGGCAGGTGTCTAGCCGTTATGCGGAGAGACCGAGCCGTTTGGGAAACAACCCATGGCAATGAAACTGATCCTATGGACTTTAACCTTTAACTTACACTTCTAGACGTATTGCTTCCTCGCGAAGACGAGTTCGAATTGTTACATTGTTACCCTTGCTAAGTTTATTACTTAGGATTCAACTTGTTACTAATGTATTGCAAAATTAATGCACTAACTACTGTCATATATTATTTTAAAATATCTAGCATTAAGATGCTATATTAGTATCTCTAGGTTTCCTTTTTCTTGTGTCCTTTAACAAACACAAAATGCATTCAGTAAATGTCTCTCTTTTTCCACAGGAAATACAGCCTTGATACACAGCGCGTATATTGGGAACGATGTAGCTCTGGAACTGTTGGTCAAGAACTTTCGTCGACTTGGACTCAACATCGATCATTACAACAAGGCAGGATACACTGCTCTACACGTAGCCACAACTAAAGGATTTATCCAATGTGCCAAGATATTGACCATCAAGGGGAAAGCGTCATTAACACTGAAAGATAAAGTTCATCGCCTAACACCACTGGAATGGTGTCTGAGACTGGGCTTTCAGAAACCTGAGGTGGATTTTTTAAAGCCAGCAGCAAAGTTTTATAAGGTTGCAAAACTGACTACAACAATGGTTAAATGCAGGAAAAAATCGGAGCAAGAACTGCCAGTTGCTCAAAAGTCCCCTCGCAGATCACCAACACGAACAATAGAAAAGCCAAAATTCAAAGTCAGAAGTCTTCTGAACAAAACTAAAACCTCAGGCACAGAAGAAATGGGTTCCAGTGCTGTGGGTGCAGTGCATAAGCAAGTATCACAGCCTACAAAGAGCAAAACTAACGAAAAGAACGCCATGTCAAAGTTCATAGCGAAGTCCAAATCAAACTTCTTATCAAAGGGCAAATATAAACATATTCTGGGTAAAGGAAGACAAAGAAGCTTGAGTCAGTCCGACCAGTCCGAGGAGGTTCAGGCTGCTGCTAATGCAAGCGCAGGACTGACACATAGCCGATCACACCCAGTGACATCGGTGTGTTTACTGGCTATTACCGGTGAATGCAACTCTGAAGGTGAAACAAGCCAAGAAAACATTCAGGAGTTTATGACGCTGCCTGACGAATTCGGAGAATGTGATACAGATGATCTGGACAGTTGTAGGCTGGACTTAGATTCCGATTACATTTCCGCTATTGTCACCCAACGAAAGGTTATCACATACGGACAGGACAGAGTCTACTGTGATGAGATAGACTCCTGCATCTCGACCACAAACACCGTTTCTTCTCTCAGTTACGAAGAAGGTAGAGCATACAGCGGTACGTCGTCGTCAAACAGCAACGATTCACCAGCAGGTTACTGCAGAAACGGGACTGGGCGACCAGGAAACATCAGAGGTCTCTATGCGTCTGGAGACTCTTCATACAGTGAGCAGTCTATCCGCTCTTGCACCGAAAGTACTCCTTCGTCTTCTAACAGCTTCCACGGTAGAGATGACGAAGATGTGTCTGATACAGGCGAAGACGATTCGAGTTATATCAGCTCTGATGAAACTCATACAACAGTTATTGACAAGAATCCACATTGCAGTCAAAGCAAACTGTCTACATCGAAGCTAGCAAAACATTCATATAAATCCAAACAAACAATTTTAAAATATAAAACAGGCATTTCAGATGCCACCAAACGGCAAATGTCAGAAACAGAATTCGATACAGCTTCCCAGCAGACAGATATAGAGTATTTGGATAACGATACGTGTAACACACCACCTTCACAAGAATTGCCATCAAAGGTGACAGTTCCTAATGCGGACAGTCACATATATTACGTCGCAAACTCAAAGGAATATCACAACAGTAGCAATCGACAAAGCTCTCTCACCAAGGAAATATTGGAGTCGCAAAACACAGAAAAAAGCCTGGTGTCTCCAGAGACGGAAATTGAGTTTATTGACCATGACGAGGAGTCACTGTCTCTAGACATGTCTACAGAGATTCATGATTCAGCGTCACAACCTAATTTACGTAAAAAAGGAAACGCTCGGTCAGCTACAGAGATAATAATGACACGAAGAAAGAGAATGCAAAGCTGGAAGACAGAGCAGAAAATGTCCATAAAAGCACTCTCTCTGGGAGAGAACATGTAAGTGAATATGCAGGAACAACCCGGGAAGACTTAATTTCTCAACAAACAGAAGTATTGTACATAGATATGGTTACACCTGATAGTGTTACAGATAAGACAGAAATCGAGCGTCTGGACAACATGGAAACTAATCAAAGAGACAAAAGTGATAAGAAATTTTCCCATTTAAAATGTGAATTTGTCAACAAAATAAATCATGTCACAACAGCAAGGCAAGGTGTAATCTCACCGGAAACAGAAATTGAATATATTGATTTGCTAACACCTGATAATACCATCGAAAACTGCGCACCTGATATTCTATACCACGAGAAAAGACAAGAAGTACGAGAAACCAAAACGAAACCATTTCAGGATGTGATCCTAAGAAGAGATAAATCTATTGACGAAGTCAGACATATCAGAAAGACTCAGATCTCTCCACAGACAGAAATAGATTACATTGATCTACATAGATATGATATGTTGACAGACATCAGTGATGAAGAGTGTCCAGAGGAAACGCAACCTTCGTTTGGTAATGATAATGACGAAGATATCAGCGAAGACGTTAACGATGCAGCTTTGGGACAGTTCGCCGTCAGAAAGTCTCTACATGACTTTACAGAAAATGTGATGACACTGGTGGATCTTGCTACAAGTCAGGGATTTGTTGTTGAAAGTAAGCAAAACTGCAATCTTGAGACAGATCAAGAAGATGCGGATCAAAATTCTTACGAGGGAAGCTGTGCCAGTTCTGAAGTTGAGACAATCATTGTCAATCTAGAGAACGATCTTTCATATCTGTCTGTTGATTCCTCGTTTCCTTCGATAAATGGGCAGATTACTGATTTTGAAAAAGAAGGAAAGAACCCGAGTTAATCGTTAAAAAATGATTCCTAGTAGAAGTTTGACTCAATGAGGCTGGACAGACCAAGGATGTGCAGTTCAAAGTTTTGTGATTAAAATTTTACCAGTTCTGACACGGAGACGGCGATATTCGTTTTACAGAACGATTTTCCCTACATCTGCAGATTCGTTAATTCACTCAGTAAATGTGTAAACTATAGATTTTGAAAATGGACATAAATTAACGATATTAATCATTTGAAAATCATGATATTAGCAATTGTTGTGAGAACGGACATGCCACGACGAAGTAGATTTATGTTCTTGTGATTAAAGTTGCATCTGTTCTGACACTGTGTCATTGATAACAGATTTAAAGAACAGACTTTCCTATGTGTCTGGACATTCATTTTTTTTTTTTTCGACAAAATGGAAGAAACTATAAATTTTAAAACAGACAGAAATAAAACAGGTTGATCTTGTGTATGACTCAGTGAGACTGTTTAGACCAGGAAGTAGCAGATCAAAGTTCGTGATTAAAGTGGCACCAGCTCTGACGCTAAGGATAATTATTTCGAGAGCGATGTCTCCTCTGCAAATACATTGAGACTCTAAAAGTACGGAGACTAAGACTTTTACTAAGAAAGGAATGAAACATGATAAATATTTGATCTCTTGACCTAAATGGGTTTCTGGATAGTGAAGTGGTCAAGATGTTAGCCCCGCCTTCTGAAGGTCGTGAGAGTTTGTTTGAGGGCTGCGTAGTTCAGTTCACAACTAGAATTTTTGTAGAGATCTTTGTGGATCTTATAATATATATATATATAATGGCAAGTATGCATGGGGCAATAAAGATTAAATCCGTTATCTCTCATACAATTACCTAATCTGTAGTAATTGATTATAAATAATAAATCGTAAATATATCATACTAAACAGTGAAGCATATTCTTCTGATAATTAATAAAAATAAAACATAACATATCTCTGATTGTAATAAATTTTACTCACTTGATAGTAAATCGTGTGCTCTATGTAACAGTAAAACATATACGCGTTTCACGTCCGTAGACGTACCTTAGTGTGGCTGCTGCATCGAAGGACAGCACCTAGTGCGCAAAGACGTAGATTGTAATAACCTAATAAACATATGAAGTACCATTTATAACTAAAAAAAAAAATCATACCTATTGTATAAATAACAATTTGTTTACCGCTTATAATAAATAATAGATAATAAATCACACACTTTGATCACAATGAATCCTGTACCTGTCAAAAAATAAAAAGTCAAGATTCCCTTTTCACGCCTTTAGGGATATTGGGAATATAAGGCTGCACCTATTTTTTATAGACCAGTCGGCATATGGTGGGGGATGTGGTCAGAATCACGCCGGCCACCTTTACTTCCCATGAATGCACCTGGTACCCACTCAAGGCTGGGCTAACAGGGGAGTCAAGGTCATTTTTAAAAACAATTTCGGCTCTGTCAGGACACGAACCCACGACGTACCGATCAGCAGATGGGCTCTAGCCGCCAATGCCACGGCGACTCCCCTGTACCTGTTATAATAAATAATGAATCTTTTACTTTTTATAACAATAAACTATATGCTTCTGATAATTACAAATAGTATATACCTTTCCATAGTGATAATATGAAATCGTTGACCTATGATAACACCAAATCCAGAAACCCTGACCACAAGTTTTCTCTACAATAGAAAAAAACTCACAGGGAGCAAGTACAGCAGGGATCTACCTGTCGTCAGTAGAAATTATTCTCGTCAACGAGCGTTTCGGCCCACGATTCCTAGACGCTTTTGGAGGTGGGCCCACCTGAGTTCATGAAGCTCAGGGCTGGATCCCTGCTGCACGAGATTACCGGATGGTGTTTTTCTTTCGGATAGAGACAAGACGACTTGGTGGTTTCGCAGAAGGTACTGTGAGATAAGACACAAATATGATAAGGGGACTGAGTGGTCTCGATGCATGGTGTCCGCCTTGAGTGCTTTAGATCCCGGGTTCAGGTCCCGGTGAAATGGAATTTGTACGTGGCTTCTAGTAATTTTCTCTGGTCTCTGAGTAGTAAAATCAGACACCCGTGTGTACTGTTGCGGATGTAAAATATCCCCTCGATTTGAAAAATCAAAAAGAGTAGCATAATGGCGCTGCACGAGTAAAATTTGGGGTTATAAAATCTACCCAAAGTATTTTAGAATCTTTGCCGGTGCAACGGAGTTCGTGAACTACCCTGAGATTCTTCAGACTCAGGCTTGAGTTAGAAGTAGAACGGAGCACTTATGGGCTGCACCCGTGTGCAATGATGTTGAATAAACATAAACATAAACATTAACAAATGAGATAACTGAAAAAAATACATTGCTTCATTTATTACAGATGTTTGCTTTTGGTACATTCAGATTTCATGATGTAGTTGTATCAATGATTGGCTGATAATTGTATAATTTGTTTCACACACACACACACACACACACACACACATATATATATATATATATATATATGTGTGTGTGTGTGTGTGTGTGTGTGTATTTTTGTGGTCCGTCAAGATGATGATGACCACTCTTTTTCATCAAGTATGAGTACGAAGTTGACTGATGAGGCCGATGCGGGCCCGAAAAGTTCTTGGACAGTTAGGACAGGAAATGAGCGTTGTGCCAGGAAGGGGATCTCCTGCAGTCGCCTTTTTGTCCATCTTTTTCCTAATAAGTCTTGCTGTTCTGATTGCTTCACATGTAGCCGCGCCCTTGTGTAGAGCTGCATGCCATGCATTTGGGTCTTGAGAGGCAGCCTCTCAATTGGAGTCATTCATAAGGTGTCCTTAAAGCGTTTCTTTTGCCCGCCTTGGGAACGTTTCCCATTTTGCAGCCTACCTTGGAAGAAGTTTTTTTGGGGAGCTTGTGATCTGGCATGCGTGCCACATGACCAGCCCAAAGAATTTGATACTGCATCAGTAGAGTGCGGATGCTGGGCATGGCTGCTTTCTCAAGGACTACGGTATCAGATACTTTGTCCTGCCATCTGATGTGCATTAGTTTTCTAAGGCAGACTGTGAAAGTGGTTTACTTTCTAGCCTGGCGCTGGTATACAGTCCATGTTTCGCATGCGTACAGCAGTGTAGTTAATACAACTTCTCTGTATACTTTAAGCTTTGACTGCAGGGTTATGCCACTTCTGTTCCAAACATTTTTGTGCAATCTGCCAAGGCAACGCTAGCCCTATAGATCCTTGCATTTACTTCGTCATCAGTTGTGGCACTCTGTGAAAGGGTGCTGCCTAGATAAGTAAATTTACTGACAACGTTTAATCTGTAGCCATTCACTGTGATATTGGACTCGATGTATCTTTGCCCTAGGGCTGGCTGGTGCATGGCTAAAGTTTTATTAGATATATATATGCATTTGTTTCACGTCAGTACCAGTTATACTATGTATTGTGTTTCCAACTGTGTATTGTATTTTAACATCATGGTCATTGCCAGTGGCATCGTCTCATTTGTATATCGTTTGCATCAATAATAATTTTCCACATCCAGAGATGTTGAATTGTATCTTCGTAAATAAATAAATAAAGGATATTTGTTTTCCCCTACATCTTTAAAACATACTATGTATGTAGTACTAGCTCCATAGTTCTGTAAACCACCAGACCTCTTTCCGGTGCTCGGTAAGTTAGAAGTTAGTTGCATACCATTTACTTTTTATTTTTGTGGTTTACTGGGTAATTTTACGTGTAAAGTTTGTCAATGCTCATTAACGGTCGACTCTCGGTAGCACTGTCGAAACCAACGCAGTGCTGTCTGCTACCAGATTGCCCGCAGCTCAGATCAAACCCCTCAACTCCAAAATACGAAGCGCATTTCGCAACGCCTACGCCACTAGGGCTGCGTAATGAGGGCCATATCGTATCGGTTAGTTACACACATCAATTGGTTACACAATATTGGCTGGAGTCGATTTGGTCACGGGGTCGAGGCTGACTTTTACCACGATAGAAAGATGTGTCAAAGAGGGACATGAATGGTACAGGAATTAGGGTAGATTCGTGGAAACAGAATGCCAAGGACCGTGATTCGTGGGGGAACAAATCAGAGCAGGAACGAAAATAAAAAAAAAAAAAACGAATGCAGAAAGTATGAGAGCCGAGTGA